ACACGTGCTTGTTGCCTTGTTTCTGTTCGAGGCTATGGCTTTAGGTTTCATTATGTTAGTCTCTTTTAAGGGAGAACAAGGGAGGGTTTGGAAAAAAACATAAATACGATAAAAGCTAAGAAAACTGTTGAATGAGTGAAAACAAGAGAAATACAGAAAAAGAGATGCAGTTAGAAAGAATGAAGCAGCGACAGAAAGACATAAAAGGTTTTATCGAGGGTTGGCTCGCAGCAGCAGCAGCAGGCTAAGCAGGTCATTTCAGACATCAATCTCCCCAGTGATACTTTCTGGCTCCTCCTGGGGGATCCGAAGGCGTTCCCAGTCCAGATGAGATATGTAATCCCTCCAATGAGTTCTAGATTAACCGCAGGTTCTCCTCCCAGTTGGATGTAGCCAGAAAGCCTCCACAGGAAGGCGCCCAGGAGGCAACGTAATCAGGTCCCTGAACCACCTCAGCTGGTTCCTCAAGCTTCCTCCAGGAGTCCAAGCTCCTCACTCTATCTCTAAGGCCAAGCCCAGGCACCCTACAGAGGAAACTCATTTCTCAATCTCTTTCTTTTGGTCACTACCAAGAGTTCATGACTATCAGTGAGAGTTGGAACGTAGATCAACTGGTAAACCAAGAGCTTCACCTTCACAGTCCAGTACAACACTTTATGCTGCATCAAATCATCCGTCTACATTTCACGCTTTTTTCCTGTCCAAGATGCTTAAACTCCTTTGGATGGGGCAGCAACTCAAACCCCAACTTAGAGGGAGTAGTCCATCTGTTTCCAGCAGAGAATCATTACCACACATGAGGAGGTGTTGACTCTTATTCCAGCCACTTCACACCCAAACCAGACACCCTCCTCACCCCGGCTGCACCTTGAGCTCCTCTCTATAATTATGACAATTGGGACAAGGTGCAACCATGGCGGAATCCATGGCCCACCACAAATGCGTTTGACCTCATGCCGAGAATATGAATAGAAAACCTCTTGAGGTATTTCCGATGAAGCTAAAGAGAGATAAAGATAGGGAGGCAGGTTTTAAGATGTGTCAGCTCTCCTTTATGCACTCAAGCTATCGCCGGGGCGAGGGCTTATCAGACAAAGCTGAAAGAAGCGCTAAAAGCATTACTGATGCCTCTCTCTGGTCTCATGGCACCACTCAACCCCAACAGACCCCATCAGCTCCACTTCGGAGAAAGACGGGGATGCAAAAGAAAAGAAGCAAAAGAGAGAAGTAAGCAGTGGGATGCGAGGATGAGAAAGAGGAAGCTGTTCTCTTGTCTTTGCATAACCACGTCATATTCCCCAGTGGGAGACAACAATGCAGCCTCAACCCAAACACATAATCTGCTGTAGTCCACATGGATTCTCACAGGCAAAGACAGTTTAGCGGTTACACTCTTCCTGGCCTAATCCCCAGGCGTTTCTCTGGCATGGAAACACTGCAGTGATGAGAATTTACTCTGATAACACAGTAAAAGCCCCACCGTCACCTCATATAGCATGTGGAATGTGCAAAGGCCACATCAGGTAGCGTATGTACAATAAAATCAATACGTTTCAACACCTTATCTGTGTGAAATGTAACACAGGTTGCCTCAGCTACACTCGACAGGAGGAAATACACAAGGCCCACAGTTTCTGAATGGAAACGCAGCCATTAACATGATTAACCAGCGTAGACATGACTTATTATTTTGGCAGCACATCTGTTAACTAAATTTATCATGAGATGAGAGGTCTTCTTTCACAAAGGTGGACTTCTGTGACTGTTAAATATGCAGCCAAAGCTAAAAATTAAAAAAATATATAAACCTGTTTAATGAAAAGCTGCTTATCGGTAACGTATTAGGGCAAAGTTTTTTTAAAAAGTGCCCACAGACGAGCACCTGGTGGAGGAGGAGAAAATCCAACCGAACTGTGGAATCCATTTAAACTCGATTACCGCAAAAGGCTTGGCAACAGTTTTCACACACATCAATGAGTCAGAGCGGGAAGCTTCCTACTACTACGATCACTTAGTGTGATGCAACAATTTTACTTTGCAATGTGAAATTCTCAAGAGGCACTGATCAGACCAGTTTGTGTGAAAATGGCGGATTTTCCATGCAGCAGCCAAGCGTTGGCACTGAAAACACACAAAAAAAACCTACAATGGAGTAATAAATCTTTGATCGCTAAAGGCTACCGGAGCGAGAGATGTTTGAATAGAGACTCTGTTAAGCTGCTGTTGACTGCAAACAAAGAAAAAGTATAGTTTTGGGGAGCCGGGCAGGTGGTGCAGTAGGTGGACACTGGGTGGCCTTGGGGAGCGACAGAACGCTGATTAACTTGCACAGTTTTTTGATCAACGATGCTAATCAAATTAGACGCAGGATCTCCTCTCCCTCACTGTGAAAGGACCCTGATCCATGCAGTAGCTGCACCACCGGGAGACAGACCCTCCCATGTGTGCCGACACCCTAATGAGTTTCATGTGAGGAGCATTAAATACCGCTGCCAGACCAGTGAAACTAACTGGAGCTGGCAGAGGGGCTGCTGTGGTCCAGTCACAACAGATGTGCAAATCAACACAGCGTAAAGTTGGGTGGAGTTTTGTTTAGTCAGTACAGTGAAGTTTCATCACTGGCTCCACTGTTGCTTTGTGTACTGTTGCTTTATGTGTTTAATTCCAAAAAAAAAACAACACACACACACAGTTATGACCATACACAGGCTTACACAGGCTTGTTGGTGATTTCTTTAAATAAAAAACTCTCCCGGTAACTTCATTATGCAGAGTACGATTGCAGCCAAGCACTTTTATGACTTTTCCCCAAACACCAGAGAGCTGGAGCAGCTCCACATTGGCGTAATTAACCACACTAGCAGATAATACGAACACATCTTACAAGCACAATAAAAACAGACGCATCACAACTGCAATGAGACAGATGGAAAAGAGCGTCTTTTTTTGGTTTTTTACTGCAGCATAGATGGATTGTATGGAGTTTACAGACAATAAAACGTCTGTAGCCACGTTTGCATGAGCTGCAGTCGAGAACAAGTGGAACATTTAAAACTCCTGATTAATGAAACCATCAACATCGACTGTCTCTTAGCGGAACAGGATCTGGAGGCGGCATGTCGTCAGGCCTGGATGTTACTGTACAAGCAAATCACACATCACCTGACTAGTTGCTCATAACAACTTCTGCCTTATGTAAGAGGTCATCTTCAGTCATCATAACACACATGCATGCACAGATGCGTGCACAAACCCCCGATGGTAACTGCTTTAACCCTCCAAGTGTAATGCTATTGTGATTTTAATCTAGTTAGCGTGCAACTCTGTGACAGAAAAAAAAAAGTGGCGCTGCATAAATTACACGAGCTACTGATGCATTTCTTAATCGACAATTGTTTCATTGTGAAAACGAGAAACAACTCTGTGGGGCAACATATCTGAGTGTTTCCCACTCCGTCCCTCTCTCTCGTGGCTGTTTATTGGCTCTCGCTCCAACTGTATTTGTTGTGGGGCCTGCGTGCCACAGGCCACGGTTGCGTAATAATACAGAGACAGGGAGCTAACTTACAGACACTGGATTCATTCAGCAAGCGAGCCTGAATCAACAGCAAGCAAAGTAAGAATTTAGATGTAGGTTTATCCCAGATTGGCAAGACAAAGGGTTAAAGCACAATAAGCTCTGCTGCAGAGGACAGCAGAGGTGCAAAGCCCATTAATGCAGTCAGGTGACTGGAGTGCAGACTAATGGTCAATGGACGGAGTGACGCAACCTCTAAATCTTTTCCCCCTCGCTGCATCTGGGTGTAAACACCATCACATGGCGTGAGAGAGAGAGGACCAGCAGCAAATAATCAGGCATAAAATGGTGAAGACAGAGAAGACAGCGCAGATAGAGTTATTACCTGCAAACAAAGAGAGAACATTCAACAGGGACAAAGAGATAAAAACATGCACAGACTACAATTCAATCTCCAAGGGGTCACAAAATAGCTCTGCGTGATTTAGTATTTTGTCCTGATGGATGTCTCCTCTCATTTTATGTTTTCCATTTTAGCTGTCAGTCGCTTTTCACAAAACAGGAAGGCTGGCAAGTCTGTGCTGCTGACCCTGACGGTCACAGCACAAAGACGGAGCTTGTTAGAGAGCCAGGCTTGTCTTCTCCTCTCTCTGACTTATAGCCGAACAAAATCTTCTTCTTCTTCACTCATTATCACTGTCTGGCTCAGCCCACCACACTGAAATTATCATAAACATGATGCACAATGACACTTAATCAGGAAACTTTATGCAATTTTTGGCCGGTTGGATAATTTCAGAGATCCATCATTCAGACTCTTGGCAGCCCCTCTGCTCAACAGACCCCCCGAGCAACATGCTGAATCACTACCAGCTTACAGAGCCGCTGATCCTGACCTTTTGGCTTCTCCAGAGGAGGGCAAATGAAAAGACAAATTCCCCACATGCATCAATCCCTTCCAGCAGACAAGACGCATTTGAGTGAACTGTCCCTTTAAATTTCCAAGCTCATACGTGCCTGGACCAGCCAACACAGCCCGGCGTTTCTCTGCCCAGTCTGTGCACTTGTTGTTGGCGTTGAGCAGAACAAGTCTGGCACCTGCTTGCTTCGCCAGCATCACCATTTATCAAAGCAACAATAAAGGCAGAAGGCAGCCTTTTGGCACCGTGCTCCGAGCGCGTAAAAACAGCAGCGTGGAGCAGAGAGGTTGGCTGCGCTGAACTTGGGGTGTTTTTTGCGCTCAGCGTTGCCAAACCGTATCATGCATGTTTTAGGGAATACTTTATCAACTCTGCATATTTTAAAATGACACGAGGCAACATGCAAACTAAAGTAAAGTTGCAGGTGTTGCTTGTGTGAGGTTGTTTTGGTACCTGTTCTCAGCATCGTGCAGCTTCATAAAACACACAATCAAACAAAGTCTCCCCAATTTCATCACCAATCTTGCCTCCTTGACTTTTTTGTTTAAACGGGTTGCACTCACCTCCCAGTCCGCCCAGAGTCGCTGCCCGGGAGCCACCGGAGAGCAGGCAGCACACCGGGAGAAGGATCAACATCACGCCGCGGAGAGTCATCCTGATTCCGCTCTCGTCCTGTTCCAGATCTGATTTCAACACCAAAAGTCCTGGACTCGTGCTTTCAGCTGCGATGCATCCTGGTCTTCACAGGTTTCTCTGAGTTTAAATGGGTTTAGTTGATAAATAAGTTCAGGTGATTATTTCTAAATGGAGAAATACACCCGTCCTGTGTTGTTATTCTGCTACAGGTTTTCCCGTAGCTGCACAAAGCGCACAGAAGAGTGTGCATCCGCTGTGCGCAAATCGCAAGCTTTATTTCAGTATCCACTAAAGAAGAGCGTCATGCTGGGAAGCAGATAATGAATTAATGTAGTTGTATCTGCTGCTAATTCCGGGCACAAAACTGCGCACCAAAGTAATCCAAAGTAAGCGTCCTGTCGTGCGGGAATAATGTCCGGCGTCCTGGGCTAGAATAAGCCGGAGCCTCGCTCCTCTCCGGGCTCCGTGCGCCGGTGTCGCCTCGCTTGTCCCGCTGCTGGAAACCAAAAACCTCTTCAGTTTTCAATCATCTGAGGAGGTTGGAGCTGGAAAATCGCGTTTAAATGACAAAAACGCGGAGAAATCCCGGGTGCGCGCCGTGCAGCCTGGAGAGGCGGATGATACTGTGACCGGCAGGCTGCGTGGAAGCCAACCGTCTCGCGCCCCGCCCTCCCGGAAAAAAAAGGCAGCGCGAGAGACTGACCTCCAGGTAAGAGGGTGACGTCACTGCCGACAGGTGCATTTGCAAATCCAAAAAAAACCAACCTCCTGGTGAGAAATAGCTGTTTTTTTGGGGGGCATTTCTTCAGAATTTAGGATTTATTTCTTGTTTGCGAATGACTTGCAATGAAGGTAATGACAGGTTCCACCAGATTATTATCCCATTGTGGCCTGTCTGCCCTGTAATACAAAGAGATAAAAGTCTGCAGTGGTGAAAGTAAAACATGTTATTATGATAGTCTCACAGCCACCGGAGGATCCATCCAACGATGAATCACTTATGTCCCAATACAACTAAACTACATTCTCATTCATGTTTTGACAGAAACTTGTTTTTTCTCCCCAAAAGGTAGGATTGAGATTGTGCCAAGTCAGAATGTTGTGCAAAATCACAACAGAAAAAAAAAACTCTTTCTCCTTGTGGTAAATAAGCCATTACGCAAAAAACATGCATCATCTGAAAACTAACTGTCAGTGTGGAGCTGTGAACTAGGTTAAGATTAATGTTCTAGTCATTGAATAAACCCATAAAAACCTTCACTGTGTATTAAAGTTATATATCTATCTGTTTTCTCTCCTCTTTTTGCTTTAAAACTCTACACAATTGCCTCTTTTAGAATGTGCAGCTATACAAAGTCTCCGCCCCTTTCTCCGCCCACAACTCCACCACTCATTGCAGCTCCAGCACACCAGCTCACCTACTCTGCCTTAACACTGCAAAACTACTCAGTGCTAATTTGGCCATTCTTGTTCAAACCAGAAGCCAAATCTGAAGAAGAATAATGATACAAAAAGCCAGAAAATGTAAAGATTGATTCCTGAGGTTTGTGACACATGAAATCCGAGACGTCTGAATCTGTGCTTTTGAGGCTGTCATTGGTACACTGCAGCTTCAAGGTGGAATTGTTCAGCTATTGTGTGACTCCTTACCCAAAAAAAAATCACCATATGGACATGCTAATAAGGTTTAAAAAAAGATCACCAGAGGGGGTCTTTAAGTTTCATTGCCACACGCTGTTTATTTTCATTTTTCACTCGCTGTTTTGTTAAGCTCAGATACAAAAATGACTTATGGTTTGGGTTAAAACACAGCCTCCATGTTTGAAGCTGCTCCTCCAGCTTCTGGGTTGCCACGGTGATGAGTCCCACCCTGTCTAAAGGCTGATTAGAAACATATTCATGATGCGTCAAAAGCAAACATAATCCGTTAGAAAATGCTGTGAAAACATAACTGAGAATGTATATTAGCTGAAACATCATCTTTAAGAGACATCGGTGCAACTACTCATCATTTTGAAACCACAATAAATCTATTGAAAGTGTAATCTGTTAAAAAATGGTGCAATACATAATAGAGCTACATTGATAGATGGGTTAGGGTTAGCTATTTGATTTGTTCCCTTATGTCTGAATGGGATCACCCACTAAGCCTGATCAGATGTTTCACCCAAATGTTCACCACATTGAACTGATTAACTCTTGATTTATGCGTATTATTGGAATAACTCGTTCAGAACCGACATGTGTGGAGCACGCTTTTAAAATCGTTTTACTTACCACAGTGAATATTTTTAAACTGACAAAGTCTTACACAGAACTCTTCAATGAAAAGCCAAATTTTCAGTGATTGTGAATGCAAAGTGGATTTTACAAGTTAATCTTTTACTCAAAATAACCGTTTAACACCGTGCATGAGTGTGTTCCCACCACTTCTTTTTAACTCTGGCTTTCCTAATCCGCCTGTCAGTCATCTGACATCACAGGGAGGCGGAACATCTAAAGATGATTAAAGAGTAGATTGTGAGGTCAGTGACCTGCCGGCTCTTTTAAACACCGTATGCTGCACAGAAAGGTTGTTTTTTTGTATTAGTTATTCGAAAAAACACAACAAACTGCAGCCTTTTCAGCTCAGTCAGCAGTATTCTTAATATTTTTTTATAAATTGTGCAGCTTTTTTTTCCCGCGTCCTTCTATTTTTTTCTCCCAGGAGGAAAGCTGCCTGGCTGGCGATGCTGACCAACCGATTTCACGGGGCGGGGGTGCAGACATGTACCCCGACTCCAGGATAAAGGGAGGGGTCACAGAGGAGCCCGGATTAAAGGATTTGGTAGCCGAGGAGGAGGAGGAGGAGGACAGGGGTCAGAGGTGAAGCAGCGATGGTAAAGAAAAGCCAAATGGAGCTAAGAAGCGAGCGGCGCCGTCTCTAATCGAGCCTGATTAAGCTCACACTGTGCGTGTCTCATCTTTACGCCGCCGATGACTTTTGAATGACTAAACATCAGTCAGTATCACAATGGATGTCTTCATCAGTGGCGGCTGCGGCGACCATTGGAGATGAGGGCATTTTATTATAAAAAACGCCCGTGACTCTTTGGGTGGTGAGCGTATTTATCACTGTCACTGGAGGTCCGAGATCCATGTCTGGGTCAGCCACCATTCAAACTGTCTGCAGTCCATCTGGGAGGAAACATATGAAGAGGCTGGTGGCCAGACAGCATGATTGGGCTAATTTCTCTTAGCTGCTGCCCCCTTCTGGACAGGTGAAGCAAATGCTGGAAAAGATCATTTATGATCCACACCTTTATGTATGATTTGCACCTGAAAAATTGGCAGTAAATGTGGATTTTAAAGAAAAATCCACAACATTATATATAAAACGGAAGACAAAGCAAGATGCACAGATGCTGTCAGGTTGATCGAAGCCTTCAAATCACTCCGCGCACATCGGTTCAAATTGAAGCACAGAATTTGCATAAACTGGGCGTACAGATTGGCATAAATTAAACCACAAGCACCAACCACAGAGGAGTATGGCCTTAAAGGGATTGCCATGGCTGCTTATCTGTCTCCACACATTAATATTCAGACCCTGATGTAAGGAAGCTGCAATCCATGACCCTGCACTCGTTCGGTTAATGCGAATGTCAGTGTTGCATGGCTGTTTATGCACTGTCACTTGCCTGTAAATGTGCGTTCGTATGTGCACGCATGTCCGGGATGTGTGTCTACCGGGACCAGACGCCGGCTTATAGAGGCCAAAGGTTTTTGTTTTTTGTGTGCACGAGTGTGTGTGACTAATGGTCGGGAGCCACTGGTTGAAGCTGGAGGGATTGTTATGGGGGATGACAGAAAAGAAAATCAGACAGAGGAAAGAGATGGGGAGAGACAGACAAGCCACCTCCTCCAGCAAATGTAATTATATGGATCAGAATCACTCGGGGAGCTGCTTCTTGATCATGTGACATTGGCCTTGTCCTTGGACATCTCGGCAAAGGCGGCGACTTTGTTAAAAAAAAAAATATTGTTCGGTGTTACGTCTGTGCATTAAATCTGTGACCGATCTAATTGCCGGGTGAGTAATGAATGCAGTCATGGATATTAATTGTGTTCCGTGGCTTAGTCGGTCACAGCTTGTGTAAATGAAAGAGAGTGTGTGTGCACGAGGGAGGGAGGGGGTCACATAAGGCAGGGGGCTTCTGCCCTGAGGAGCAGAGGGGCCACATGCACTCAAACACTGAAACACTCATTTAGCTAACAGCTTTCATTTTCTTAATTAAACCACAGATAGAGTGAACCCAGATTTTTTTCCTATCCCTCTCTCTCTCTCTCTGTTCCCTATTACCTCCCTCGCCCCCATCTCGCTGCTTCCCATCACACTTCCCACCCCTCGCGTTGCATCTGCGCTCATTTTTTCCCTCCCTCCTACCATCTAAATTTATCAATCAAGCTGTCAGTCTGTGGGAGAGAAAACATATTGCAGAAATGTGCCGCTGAATGCATGGATTTCACCCACTATATCAGGCTGAAACAAGATTACAAGACAAGCGTGGGGTCAATCCCTACCTCTGTGTGATATTCACTACTGGCCGTTTGTATCGCAGCTGGCTGGTTGCCAACTGATTTACCCCCCATCCCTCACCTCTGCTGTGGAGGAAATGGAACGAACAGCCCAAAACCTTTTCCTCTAATCCCCCCAACAATGGATTCTGCTGTTTTATTGAGGGTGGAGACGGAGGGTGGATTCAGGCAGCGGGGCTGAAATGTTGTACTGAGGCCAGGTAGGCTTGTATGATTTGGATCAACGCTCCAGTTAAAGCATTTGATTAGCTTCATTCCACCCAAATGAACCACGAATGATTGTATTTTTTGCCCAGGTTTTGGCGGATACAAGAGAGAAATGTTACTCAGACAATAATAAAATGAATAATTATAAGATCTCAAGTGAGTGCGGCTCCTCTACAATTAAGGACTAGTTGATGCAAGGTGCTCTGAAGCTGATTTTCGTATACTTTACCTTTCAAGAAGAACCTATTATGTGTCTTGTTGCTTGTCCAAAAACAACCAAAACAAAAAACTGACTTCTTGCAATCTAAGTGCTCAGAATCTCCCAAAAAGCTTGAGAGAACCGAGAGACGACATGCATGTGTCATTTCCTGTTTTACTTTGTAATTCCCAGCCTTTGTGTGTTTCCTGTTGTTTTACTTCCTCCCTTTGTGCGTTTCCCTCCTCTTTCGATTGCCCTGATCTGTTTTACTGTGTCTCCATTTAGTTCTCAGTGTATAAGTAGTCTTGTCTTCCTCTTGTCTCGTTCCAGTTTGTTCTGCTGAATCCCTTTCGATCCTGTTCATTCACATTGTGTTTGCCGTCCTCTCTGCTTTCATTGTGTTCTTCATGCTCCTTTTGATTTTTGCCTGATTGAGTTTTTGCACTTGGATTATGTACATTCTGTATATTCTCCAGCCATGTTGTGTTTGCTCCCGACCCTGTGTGAGGTACTTTTGTTTGATTAAAATATCCTTTTTATCATAAATTGCGTGCCATGTGTATCAGCAATTGGGTTCTTACCCGAACACTCCCTGGCAGGATAATCAGGACTGAATGCTCTAACGTGATTCTGCTCCA